CGAATGGAAGGGAAATCGTGAGAACTTGCTGGTCAAGCAAGTCTCACAAGAGCCCACCTCCTTGGGCTCCCCCTTTATCCTCATCCCCTTGACTCTTTCCTCCTTAAACAGCTGCTGTAACTGAGGTAGCGCCACGTGGCCAAAGCGACGGTGTGCGGTGAGCCAATCCGTCTCACCCGTGCTAGGAGTTACACTTGGTAGCGCAACTTCCCCATGCACAAGCAGCCCACCATCACTGCCATCGCCACCTCCTCCACTGGTTACGTGGCTTGCATGCCCTCCTCCTACAGCTTCAGCAGCCAAGCGCGCAGCCGCCTCCTTCCATGGCAGCACCGGTATCTCCCACATGGACCGGTGCATGTCCTTGCCGCCTCGGAGGTCCCACAGCACGTGCCCATCCAGAGTTGCCTTGAACACCTTTGTGCCCATCATCTCCATCTTCATCCCTGCCTCACTCAATGCCTTGGTAGAGAGAAGGTTGGCACATAGTCCAGGGACAAGGAGAACACGCTTCAGCCCCACAAGCCTCCCATCCGCACCCATAAACATGGCTCTCCCCTCGCCACGCACGGGTACAACTTGGCCGGTGGCCGAAACGACGGTGGCTGCCTTTGATGGTCTGACTTCATCCAGCAGATCCTCTTGGTTGGTCATGGTCATGAAGGCTCCCGTGTCGATGACCCAATGGGAGGAACGGTGAAGAGCAACCTTGCTGGCCGGTACAACCATATCCTCGGAGCATGCCTCTCCTACATGGTAGAACATGCCGCCATGTCCGCCGGCACCTCCATCGCCCTCCTCACTGCCCATGCCTTCTCCCATAGCTCCATGAACACCCTTAGAGCCCTCAATTGATGGCTGACCAGGCCTCCAACCATCAGGTAGCTTGCGACACTTAAACCATGGGTGACCTTCCACATGGCAATACCAACACTTGCCGCCACACCGCTTGCCTCCCTTGTTGCTACGCTTCCCTCCCGAATACTGCTCCCCTCCAGAGCCTTCCTTGGCCTTGCCTTTCTTGCTGCCACGTCCCTTGAAGCCTTTCATGCCATAGGCAGAGCCTCCACCTTCACCGGCAGCGACAGTCAGCTCCTTCCTCCGAAACTCCTCTTGAAGGACTTGAGCACGAATCCACTCAAGGGACCATGAGTCCTTCATGCCATTGAGGTTGACCACCAAGGGGCCCCACGACTCCGGCAGCAGGGAGAGAGCCTTGTAGCACTTAATCTTTTCAGGGTAGTCCACACCAGCAGCTGAGAGCTTCACGTAGAGGTCCCGGAGTTGATCTAACGCTCCTTGCACCGCATCACCCTCGTTGATCTTCACCGCATGGAGTTGTCGTTCGAGCACCACCACCATCGCTTCGCTGCTGGGGGCATGGACATCCTTCAATATTTTCCATGCCTTGGGACCACACTGGATATCCTTGATGAGATGCTTGACGTGGTGCAGCTGGTTGGATGAGAGGCATTGAGAGAGAAGGAAGAATCCATCCTTGGATCGGCGATCCCATTCCTTGGTCGCTCCTTCGCTCGCAGGCCTCTTCAATTCTCCATCCATCACTTCAAGCAGCCCATAATGGTTAAATAGGAGCTCCATCCTGAAGCTCCATGATGCCCAATCCTCCCCAGAGAACTTCTCTAGGTTGAATGCCTTCACATCATCCTTGGCTGGTGTTGTAACGGATGCTATTGGTGCAGATCCGCCTACAACGCCTCTTCCTGCTTCCCCAGCGCCTCTCACGCCACCACTGCCACTAGGACCAGCTGGAGCAGAGCCTTCAGCCTCCATATTGACCCAGGAACAGAGAATAACCGCTCTGATACCACTTGTTATAGTCTAGAGTCCACTTAGGGGTCGTAGATGCCCTTGAAACCACCTAAGCAGAATCTGATGACTTCGAACCGCCTCTGTTCAAAACGCCGTCACGATCAGCTCCGATAACAAACGAGGCTGAAACGTGGACAGAGGTTAGCTTCAGGTGTCTGCTTTCCAACGGTATATGGCTTGCTTTCATCAGAGGTGTATGCGCTACGCAGTGAACAAAAAACGTAAGCTCGGATGAAAAACGAGTAGCTTCATTGATGCAAGGAAGAGGTTTAGTACAACATTGCCTAGGGGACTCTTAAGGGGTTGGGACCATCCTGGGAACTCAGAGAAGGTTGAGTCCTAGGGGAGAAAGGCTAGAGAAGGATGGGAAACGTCCTAGCTAGGTCAGCAAAGCCAACCACACTTGGATGTTCAGAGCTGTACTCAAGGCTACCAATAGTGAGTCAAGCCAACCATGAGTCAGCTTGTCTTCCCACTTGCACCCTCTTGCAAGCTGCTTCCAGGAAGACCACACTTCTCAAAAGGAGGGTGGTAGAGTCCCACTTGACCACCTGTACTTCTTGTCTCATTCTCTGTCCCTGCACCATTGGCATGACAACAATGAAAGGGTGGCAAGGGAAATGCTGCCAACAGTGCACCATGACTACGGAACAGTAACTTTCGACAGCTGTCACGTGCTGCTCCGATGCTGGGTTGTCCTGAAACTCGGTGACCACCTGCACAACACGGCAAAAGACTGCCACACCGATTTTCAGACCAATCAAAGCTTTGTAGATGAGTCAGCAGCCGAAATGGTGAACTCGGGTGTTACCAAAAAGGAGTAACACACACTTCCGGGATGCCATAAGTCTTGAAACATAAAATGTTGTCATGCCTTGGTAACTGCTTCAAAAACTCTGAAACTTTGAGGGTTTGAAGAACACATGTTAAAAAACCTCCCCACAAAATTCCAGAAGCTGAGCAGGCTTGTAGGCCGAATGGGAGTGCGATGACCGTGCCACTGTAATGTGTTGGCACAACAGTGCCATAGCATGCGTGCCAGGGACAGGAGGCGGACGCTCACGAGGAACACGACTACCAGTGCAACGCGCGCGAACAGGCGAGGCAGGACGAGATGCAGGCTCACGACAATCTGTAAGCGAGTCTGTCTGCTCAGTGTAAGAAGAAGGAGCAGGCAGTGGTGCGCCGGGTTGTAACGGGAGGCCAGTAGAAGACGGGAAGCTAAGAACCTGGCGAAGCACTTAGTCAGGTGGTGGCAGAGACGACGGTGACGGCGGAGCGAAAAACAGTCGCGGCGGTGCAGTGCCACCAGTATCAGTAGCTCCAGCGCCTCCAGCAACTCCAGAACCTCCACTCCCAGGGCCTCCAGCAACAGCACCTCCAGCTCCAGTGACTCCAGCAGCAGCACCTCCAGCTCCAGCTCCTCCAGCATCTCCAGAACCTCCAGCTCCAGCGCCTCCAGCAGCAGCACCTCCAGCTCCAGTGACTCCAGCAGCAACACCTCCAGCTCCAGCGCCTCCAGCAGCTCCTAAACCTCCAGCTGCAGCGCCTCCAGCAGCAGCACCTCCAGCTCCAGTGACTCCAGCAGCAGCACCTCCAGCTCCAGCTCCTCCAGCAGCTCCAGAACCTCCAGCTCCAGCGCCACCAGTAGTAGCACCCCCAGAACTGGCACCTCCAGCCCCAGGTTCCCCAACCCCAGAGTCGACAGTACCAGCTCCAGGGCCTCCAGCAGCAGCACCCCCAGAACCGGAACCTCCATCTCTAGGGTCTCCAACGCCAAGGTTGACAGCACCAGCTCCAGGGCCTCAAGCCCCAGTACCTTCAGCAGCAGCACCCCAAGAGCCGACACCTCCAGCTCCAGGAGGAGTACCAGTCCCGGCAGCTCCAGTACCTCCAGTGCGAGCACCTCCACGACCAGAGACACCAGCACTCCCAGCGCCGGCGTACTGGAGTGACGCACTAAGCTGCAGCGGGCCGCTCGTGAGCTGCAGCAGTGGGGCGCGCTAAAAAAAAAAAGATAATTTTAACGGGCGCGCGCAGCCGAGGCGCGCGCGGGCAGCAGGCAAGGCAGGTAAGGCTGTAGGGGCAGAAAATGGTGGGCCCGAATCTCAGGTCCTAAGGACCTATTGTTATAGTCACAATAGGCTTGAATGTGCCTAAAACGAATGATAGAGAGCACAGACGGATTTCTGCACAGCGGCTTCAAACGTTGATAGCGTTCTGCTCACAGCTGCAAATGACCTGATTCAAATTGGATCTGGAGCGTCTTCACGTCGTCTACAATTAGCAATTTAGATTGCACGATTTGATAAAGAATTGACGACACAGCGTCGGTTTGAACGAACGGTACTATGGCAGCCACTATAGTCTTAGAACACAAGATAGGAAGAGTTACGAGTTGGGAATGACTCCCAGCTCCTACAAACCCCAAGAGCCGAGGTACAGTGATGTGGAACAGTGCCACACTGTCCCCAACCACGAAGGGTCTCGAAACTACCCTTCACTAGGGCCTACACCAAGTGAAATGTTACACTACACAAAGTAATGTAAATATCTTCAATATCTTGAGGTGTACCCTTTTTGGCGAGCTTCGAAATCACTTGAGGCTTGACACCAAGGCTCGGGCTCTACATCACAAACTCATCCTTGAGTTCATGATGGGTCTGCTGCACACACCTGCGACACGCCGAACGTTCGACACAGGACAAAATAGAAACCGCGCACGACAAAATAGAAACCGCGCGCGAGACACAAACGACCGCGTAACACGCGTCTAGCGATAACTCGCTATTGACTCGACACACACACTCGACATCATGACTCAACATTCACACACAATTATAAGCATGAAATATATATTATCCCATGCCCTCATACCATTCCATACACACACACATTCACGCACACGGACAACAAGCCGAGTGCAAACCGTAGGGTTGCACCAACAGCATTCAGGTTTCGCCAAGTGTCTGATCTACTTCCAAGATGGTTGGTTCCCCTGGTATCTTCAACTCCAGGCGGTTCCCTGGGAATGGAAGTCGAGGAAGAAGCAGGCGTACTATATTTTGACGGCCTATCAGGGAGATCCATTCAAGAACTTCCGCACTTCTTTTACCTTGGAACCAAGCATGCCGATCTTGACCTGGGCGACGAAAGCCGCTGCTACCATGACGACGCAAGAAGGCCAGACTATCCCGCCGCTGGAACAGCAGGAGAAGACGGCTGGCACAGGCATGGATGCTGGTACCAGCGCAACTCTCCCTGCTGATGGCCAAGTCGCTCCAGCAGTCACGACGGCTCCTGTTCCGCCTCCTGCGTCTCCTGTTCCGGATCCAGTGGCGCCTGCGCCTGCGACTCCGGCTGCGTTTACCTCTGCTGGAGGGGAGGAAGAGGACGAAGTTGATGATGATGGATACTTAAGTGACGACCCGGAAGAAGGCATTGAGGTCCATGTTAAGGGTGCACTGGCGGCTAAGGCGCGCGTTACGCTGATGCTCCTGATCCCGTTCGAGATGGCGAAGGAGATGCCTGCGGTGAAGCCTTCGGTGAAGGCGCTTCTGGTATTCCTGCGGAAGAAGTTGTCAGACAAGGCTCTGGACGAGATCGCGTTTCAGGAGCTGCTTCCGACGTACCTCTCCAAGATTCACTTCAGTCGCCTGCAAGTCACTCTCGCGACGGCTGAAGATGCGGAGGTGGTGCGTCAGCATCGCGTGGAGCATGTCGTCGGAACGACAAAGCATCAGTTCGGCTGGCTGCATCCGGTGAATCGTGCATATGTGAAAGCGAAGTCTGACCTGCCGGAAGGTGTGGAAGTTCTGCTGAAGGGGATCCCGGCGGAGATTACGCCGCTCATCGTTTATGAATCGCTGGTGGTTGCGAAGCTGCAGAAGCGTGGTCGCTCGGCGTTCCTGCAAGGCGCAGGTTTCCACCGCGTGGTTGACCCTGTTTCGGGATTGGACACGGACAAGATTCGCGGGTTGGTGGTCCCGCACCCAGGGGACATTTCCCGCTCAGTGATGCGACATACCTCGTGCACTACCCATCGCTGTCCTGTTGCTTCTGTCAGGGACCGCATATCAATAAGTTGCATGATGAGTATGTGCATGAGCGTCGCAACAACATCAGCAACTGGAACTTGTCTTTAGGCAGGGTCCATTCGATGAACGGTAATGGGGGGGGGATCTCACCGCGGGATCATTGTCGTTGCATGGTCATTTCTTTCTCGCGTACTGATGGGGATGTGATGGGTGTCCACTGCAGCGGCCTCCCTCCAGTCGGCAGGGGTGGTGAGGAAGATCCTTCGCGACCCGGCGCTGGTCCTTATCTCGACGGGAGCCAACGTGGAAGAATGGCTGTGTGTCCAGGAGTGCTGCGAGCGTGCATATGGCGACTCCTTCGCTCAGGCTGTGGCTCATATTGGCTCCTTCAGTCATGGTGCGGCGCTGGGTTCAGCAGGTGTGGCGACCCGCATGACCAAGGCGAAGCAGAGCCTGCATGCGGCGAAGAAGCTGTACGGGATTCGTGCAGAGAAGGCGAAGGGAAAGTAGTTCAGTCGCGTGATATGACGTGGAGTGGTAGGGGTGTATCAGCTGTCATTGTACCTGTACGGAGTATAAAAGCAGAGACCATCACTTGCGGCAACATCATTAACACAAGCCCGTGGATGCTGAGGGGCTCATCACAGGTTCCAAATGGGTAAACACACCACCCTCACCTTTAACGTGCTGAATGTCAACGGTCTCAGCTGCAGGCAAAAGCAGCACGACGTTCAGGAGTGGAAAAGAGACGGTGCTCACATAGCTATTCTATCGGACACACGGATCTCAGGGGATCATAACTTTTGGAACCAGTTACAGGCGGACATGGTGGTAGCAGCAACTCCTACGGCAATAGCTGGGGGAGTGGCGATTGTCTTACGGAACAATGAGGTGTCCTGCTCGGATGTGGTCGTAGATGCATCGGGCCACCTGGCGCGGGTGACCATGGCATGGCGTGGCGTGACGGTGACGGTTGTTGCGGCTTACTTCCCGGCGAGCCCAACATCCAGGTCTCCGTTCTTCCGCGATGTGCTTCGGCCATTCTTGGCGGCGATACCGACTGGAAATCTGCTGCTGTTGGCGGGAGATCTGAACGTTATTGAGGACCCTGCGCTGGATAAGACATCGGGGCTAGGCTCAAGGGGAGAAAATGATAGATTAATGTCCATCTGCAGCAGCTTCGATGTCCGAGACGCCTTCAGGGCGCTCCATCCCTGCTTGCGGGAATATACCTTTTACGCAGCGGCAGTTCAGGAGAGCACGAGGATAGACAGAATTCTCATCTCGCAAGCGCTGCTGCACCAGGTCCACGAGGTGCGGCATGTGGGGCTGGTCAAGAGATTCACGGACCACTGGTCCGCGGTTCACCTGCAGCTCAGCGCGGGGGGAGACGGGGAGTCAGGCCCTGGGCTTTGGAGGCTTCCGGCGTCACAGGTGCCTCGCCCTGGGGTGCAGCGGCGCGTGGAGCAGATCGTCCTGAAAAATACAGAGAGAGGGGGGGATCTAGAGGCGCTAATGACATCCTTGAAAGTGGGCCTCAAGGCGTACACTGTGGAGGAGCGGAATCGAGTAGCAGCTACATCGGCGCACCTTGAACGGGAGGTCGGGGAGCTGAGACAACGGGTAATAAGTAGACCTTGGTGTTCGCGGGCGAAGGCGCGTCTTGCGAAGTGTGAGGCAAAACTCAAGGCTTACGTGGAAGGGAGGCGCCGTAAGCTGCAGGAGCAGGCGGGAATCAAGGTGGAAATGAACGGCGAGGCTCCCACGGGTTTCCTCACGTCCAGAGTTAAAGCACGGAAGGCTAAAACGCGCCTGACAAACATACTTTATCAGGGGTCCCGGTACGAAGGGGCTAAGGAGGCGCTGAAAGCTGCATCAGACTTTTACACCAACCTATTTGCAGCGGATGGGGACTCACAGCTGGACTGGGCGGTGGACAAATGTCTCTCCCAGGAGGACGCGGCGGCGCTCAGTGCGCCCTGGGACGAGGCGGAGGTCAAGCGCGCGCTGACAGAGATGGCGCCGGGCAAGAGACCGGACCGTGATGGTCTCCCGAAGGAGCTCTGGGAGTCGCAATGGGATTTGCTGGGGGGGCAGATGATGCAGTTTCTGAAGGAGTTTGAGCGGACGGGGGTACTCTCCAAGGAGTTTTCAACCGCTGTGACAGTGCTCCTGCACAAGAAGGGCGCCAAGGATGACCTGCAAAACTATCGCCCGATTACACTGTTAAGCACGCTTTACAAGCTGATAGCGAAGATACTGGCGAACCGGATAAAAAACAGGCTGGAGAGCGTGGTGTCGACTGGACAGTTTGGCTTCTTACCTGGAAGGAGCATTGCTGGCGCGGTGGCAGTTGCGGCGGATGTGATCGATGCCGCGAACGCAGGTCAAGAGGATTGGCTAATGCTCCTGGTAGACTTTCGGAAAGCTTTTGACTCGGTGGCGCGTGGGTACCTGTTTGACGTGCTACGGAAGATGGGCTTCCCGGAGGCCTACGTGAAGTGGGTGGAAGGGTTGCATCAGGGCGCAGCAACTCGTATCTGCAACGACGGTTGGCTGGGTGAAGAGGTCCCGGTCTCGACAGGAGTGAGGCAAGGCTGCCCTCTCGCGCCGTATTTGTTCCTGTGTGCAGTGGAGCCCTTCTGCCATGAGGCACGGAGGAGATGGTTAGGCATCAAAGTTAAAGATGCGGGAAGGCTGACTTACCTGGGGTATGCAGATGACACTACCCTATTGCTTGACGGCCGTTCGCAGCTGGGGGATGCAGAGCTGCTGCTGAAGGAGTTTGAGCGGATGTCAGGGCTGGCGGTTAACTGGGACAAGTCGGTGGTGCTGCCGCTGGGGAGGCAGCGTGATGAACCACCGCCAACGGATGGGGCTTTCAAGTGGGCGTCGCGAGATGACCCGGAGCGCCTGCTGGGGGTTTGGATCACGCCGGGAGGAGATGCAAAGCCGTCGTGGAAGAGGGCTTTAAGCAGGATGGAGGCAGAGCTAAAGAAGTGGGAGGCGAAGTTTCTTACCACCACGGCGCAGGTAACGGTGGTCAACGCGTACGTCATGCCCGTCGCGTTGTTCCAGGCACAAATCTACCCCCCGCCGGACACGGTCTGGGAGGAGCTGAGAATATTGTGCCACGCCTTTGTCTCCGGGGGGCGGGCGAGCTCAGAGCCCGGCTTCATTCTCTGGAATGGAGATCTCATGCAACTCAAAAGGGAGGACGGGGGACTCGGAGTGATAAACCTGAAGGACCGTTTGGACGCAGAGGCACTTCACTCGCTGGCGCAGCTGCTCACGGAGGAGATGCCACAGCGGCGGTTGTTGGCGGAACGCGCGGCGAATTTCCCACTCGGCTATGCCTCCCTCCTTGCGCACGAGGCGCTGCTGAATGCGTGGGGCACGGGAAGTGAACGGTGGAAGGCAATCACGGCAGCGGCAATGGTGTTGCCAGTTATCAGGAACCTGGCAGTAGGGAGCAGATGGGACATTGAGATGGAACGGGTGCTCTTCAACAAGCACATCCTGCGTGACGGCAGTTACCCCTTCGGATGGCGCAAAGGAGACGAATGTCTTCACGAGATCATGGTGGGGGACCTGCTCATGAAATGGGCGGATGGCACCAGAAGTTGGAAATCGTCAGATCGGTTGGCACGGGACCTGGGCAGCAAGCAGGCAGCGGAAATAGCTATGTCTTAGAATAGGAATGCAACGGAATGTGTGAAACTAGGAGGTGTGGAAGTAGATCTCTGCCTCTGCACTGGAAGTAGCCACAGACGACGACCGTGTAGACCTCCACGACACAGCACCAACTCCCAGACTGAAGCAGTAACCCTGAGTCGAGCGCTGAGTCTCCACGTCGTCAGCGTAGGAAGAGTCGCAGTAACCAGACAACGCCACTGGCTGAGTCCCTCCAAGCACAAGCCCCATGCCTGATGTAGTTGCCAAGTACTTCGCCACCCTCACAGCAGCTGTCCAGTGGACAGGGCGGTGTCTCCCAGTCGCAACAAAGCGAGAAAGGATGCTGAGGGGAAAGGCGAGGTCCGGTCGAGTACAAGTCATCAGATACATGAGGCAGCCCACCAGCTCTGCGTAGGGTCCACTGGACTCAAAGGGCTCGTCAGGAAAGGGGCCCGTGAGTCTGTGGTCAACAGCAAGAGGAGTGGGCTGTGTGGTGGAGAACTGGAAGTCGAACCGCCGAAGGACCTGCTGCACCATGTGTGACTGCGTCAGTGTGATGGTGCGGGCGGCTCTGTCCCGGGTGATCTGCAGGCCAAGGTAGCGCTGCAGCTCACCCAGGTCAGTGCACTTGTGTCTCTTCTGCAGTTCGGACTTCACCTAAGCCAGGGCTGCCCAGTCAGCTGTAGCAAACACCAAGTCGTCGACGTAGACAAGGATAAAGAAAGGAGTAGAACCCGCTCGAACAAACAGCGACGGGTCGGCGGAGGACGGGCTGAACCCAAGGTCACGAAGCGTGGAGCGAAGAGTGTCGTGCCACTCACGGGGCGACTGGCGGAGACCGTAGACTGGTCGCCTCAGGCTCCACTGGGTCCTAGGTGGGAAGGTGTCAGTGAAGCCAGGAGGACGGCGCAGCCAGATCTCCTCGTGCAGTCGGCCCTGGAGGAACGCAGTGGAGAAGTCGAGGGAGTGCAGCTCGTAGTCTCGCTGCGTTGCTATGTGGAGTAACACCCGAAGAGTAGTCATCTTCGGGGTCGGGGCAAAGGTCTGGAAGAAGTCAACTCCCTCACGCTGACTGAAGCCCCTAGCCACGTAGCGCGCCTTGAACACCGGCGGTGCTCCAGGCGGCCGCTTCACCTTGAAGAGCCACATGCCATCGACTACGTTCGCCCTGGGAGGGGGAACTGCGTCGACGTAGGTGCCTGTGGATCTCCAAGACGCCAACTCTGAGTCCATAGCCGCTTTCCACTGAGAGGCCCACGCCCCTGACACTGCCTCGCGGTAAGTGCGAGGAGTCGGTATGTCAAGGGCGTCGGGGTCTCCCTCAGGGGAGAGCAGCATGGCACACACAGAGGGAGAAGCGGCTGCCCAGTACTCCAGCTCAGACTCTCTGTCCTCTAGGACGTCACAGCCAAGGGCAAACCCACCCCCGACGGACAGAGGACGGTAGGGAGGAGCTGGCACCACCCGGGTGGCGTAGTCAAGGCGGCTGGCGGCAGCATACTCAGCGACAGCGGCAGTAAGAGCCGAGGCAGACGACGGAGGGAAACGAGAGTCAGTGACAAGAGTGGCGAGGACATGTGCGGCAACAGGACGAACAGTGCGGTAGTAGTCAGTTATAGGAGTGGGGAGGGCTGGGAGAGAGGACGGAGGAGGAGACGGGAGAACGGACACAGGAGAACAAGAACGACGACTGGACGAACAAAAGAGGGCAGTGTGGAGGTCAGTAACAGGGGACGAGTGACGAGCACGCGGAGGACAACGAGTGATCAAGTCGTGACGGACAGAGTGAGGAGGAGACCGAGGAGGAGGAGAAGACCAGACCGCCGGACGGTCGT